AAAATGACGGGCATGTCCCTAACGTAAGCCTGCCAAGCGTAGGCAAGGCTAAGCCTATGCTGAACCGTAACACCTATGTTTGTGTATAGGTACTAAACTACTAGTGTACCATGTTTTGTCCGCTTGTCATTGATTTTCTTCTAAATGAGAGGCTAAACGCCTAAGCCCAAACAATATGCTTAAAACTGCATTATGAGCTTTTTATTAAGCCGGTGTTTAGAACTTATATTGAGAGGTTTTAAAAATCAGATCGGACAGGAACCATTTTTGTCACTGGTTTCCGGGTCAAATGGTCCAACCATTTTGATTTAAAAAATAAAAATGACCAAAAATCATTGTCTGGACATGACCAAAAATCACTGACCAAGTCAACAGTTTTGGCCCATGAACAGTTTTAGGGTAAAATGGAATTGTTGCCTAGATGGTTCTCACGTCAACTGGTCCAACCTTCTGATTCAATTTTCAAAACCATGCTATATTGTTTTCTTGAGAAATGACACCACATCATCTTCACGTCTAAAATTCAGTTTTAGATCATTCTCGATGTTTGATTATAAGTTTTTCAAAAAAAAAAAATCTCATATTATGCCTTAGAAATCATAAAAGGTATGATATTAGAAAACATCATTTTGGTGTTTTTTAGTTTTTTACTGTTTCTAATAATAATATGCTGACATGGCATTGAAAAATACCTATATGTGAAAGTAGAATTATGATCAACTTCTCACAAAATATAACTCACAGTCACATCCCACCCTGCATTAGAAACATCTTCTATTAATAATAACACAAAAGTATATGAAATGTTCAGTTATCATTTTTTTTCAAAAAAAAACACTTCTTAGAAAACGGTACGGGATTTGTTTTATTTTATATTAAGATTTATCAAACAAAAGCTAAACAATAAAAATACATAAAATGAACAATTATTTCATATTTTAACTTTTTAATCATTCAATTCATCAAGCATAAATAAATTAAAAAAAAAACATAAATAAAATCTTTAAGTGTTGAAAGTTTGGCAAATGGAGAACTCCGACGAAGAAGCGGACGGTCTCCCATCTGTTTATAACGACCAGACCAGAATCAAGTGTGACTCAACGCACGCACGCCCGTGCACCCCTGTGGCTGGATAGAGAAATGTATTATACTTGGTAGTTAGCGTGAAAGGAGGTCGGGAGGAGGAGGGATTTACACTTTATTAAAGTTGGTGGTGTTGACTTAGTTGCACTCAACCGGAATATCCATCCATCCTACATCCCACTTCAGATCTCTATGCCCTTTATTTTTTGCCTGGGTTTCCCCATCTATTTGTTGTTAATTACAATAAACAAAGCTCTAGATGCATTAAATCGGGGTGGTTGCAATCGAATCAGGTTGTAGATCTTTTGGTGGGACCTGATTGTTGGCCACCCGTGTAAGATGGGGTCCCCTGGACCGTGATGTGCCCCATCTTCCACGCCGCCCCATTGTACAATATATATACATACTACAGACCATTGGAATATAGAACAGTGAAAAAAAATATAACTAACAATGTCTAAATAAATATACCAGTACTGCTTATTCAATGCACAGCAGTGAGATAATGGTCCTGTTATTATTTAGACTGGTTGGGTTTTATATCCAAATCAATAATCATGATTTTGTGGGTTCAGCCAAGAAATAATATGGGTTTTGGATCTTTTGGTTATATTATTTTGTAATCTATCCAAACAGAGGCAAGCACGAAGCACCCATCCAGACCCAGTTCAGAACAGAAAGCAAGAGATCCAGAGGTTATAGAGACAGATTAATTTGGTTAGCAACCAAGATGAACTAATCAGTTCATCAGATGGTTTTCGTTGAAGCATTTCAACAAACGGCGTTAATTCAGGGAGGACATCCATTAGGCTGTGTTTGGTTTGAAGGAAAAAAGTATGGAAAGAAAGGGAAAAGTAGGAAAATCTATACAAGGTTCGTAAAGATTCCTTACCTTTCCCTACTTTTTACTCCAAACCAAACACAGGCTTCAGGTTGATTTCATTCGATTCCATCATAATAACCATTCTATCTACTACCTATGCATCCAAACTTGAATGTTTTGCTTGTGAAGGTTGCCATTATATTCAATGAGGAGGCCCTCAGCCTCAAGTAAGTAATGGTCCTTCTTAAGTTATAACTTTTAACCATTTCACTGAATTGGTTGGTGTAAGAGATTACTATTGGTTGATAAATCCTTTAAATGGACTATGCAATTACAATGTTGAAGGCAATGGGAACCAAAAAATCTGATGAAAAGCAAGATTTGATCCCAAGTCTCCACTATAACCAACCAGAAACCTTACCAGCAAGTTATTAGCTGTCACCTTGTAGAAATGATCAATGTGTGAGAAACAGAAGAATACTAATAGAATATTATTAGCCACAGCCCTCACAGTACCATCATTAGACGACAATAGTTGGCCAAAGCTGGTTAGTTATACAAGTATGAAAGATGTTTTCAATGTGCTACTGGATGTATTCTTATGGAGTATACATAATTTTTGCTTTCAGAATCAGCGATCTAATACAAATTAGTCCAAATATTCTAAGCTAGCACCATTCGTGACTAATCAACTCCCTGTATAAAAAGACCCACTTAAAAATCATGACCGGGGAGAAAGAGAATAATCTTAGCGAATGTATGGCAATCTTGGACAATAAGTGTTTATTGTCTATTCATATTATCTATAAGGCTGCGTTTGTTTTGTATTTTTTTTTTCCTAAAAAAAGGTTGCATTTGTTTTCGATGTAAACAACTAGTGTAAATTCAAAGGTTGAAGAAGGAAGACCTTGGATAGTATTTTTGTATTTTATCAGAAGCTTTATAAAAATAAATCTTATCAAGGGTAAATATGATATCTTGAAAAATAAATGCATTACATCAGTTACCATAAATAAATGCATTACATCAATGTTTTGTATCTGAAGAGATAACAAAAGGGAGGTAACTATACGTTTTCTTGAAATTACTGGGAACGTTTTTTGTTATGGTCAAAACAAGGGATGCTAATATAATGGTTAGAAAATTGAGGGGAAGTTTTTATATTTTACCCTAAGTTCTGTTCACTTTTCGGTAAGTTATTTATCCGGGTAAGTGTATTTATTTATGTTCTTTTATTTTCCAGGTAAAGAAGTCAATGACCATTTTAATCATAGAAATCCATTATTAAAAAGGGCATTTTTTGTCCCATCAAAGTGTTGACAACTTTCCCTCAAGTGTGAAAATTATTTATCCACTTGGGAGATGGTAAGGGTGAGCAAGAAAAACCAAACCGAACTGATTTTAAAAAAACAAAAAGGTACCTGTTCAGTTTCAGTTAACCAATATTAAAAAACGCAACTAATTCAACTGACTAGAATACATATATTTCTATATATTATATGCATATTATATATATTTTATATTATCCATATATTATAAATTAATAAATATGCATTATATACAATTATATAATATATTATTTATTATTTAAAACATAGAATTTTATATGTATTTCTAGTTTTTATTATATATTTATATAATTATATATAATATATGTTATAAATATAAAAAACAATAAAAAAACTGATCAACTGAACCAATGGTTAGTCGAACTGTTCAACTGGTTAACCAATCAGCTTCAGTTTGGGTTTGGTTACCAATTTTATAGAAATCGATAATATCGGTTCGGTTTCAAAAATAAGCCTACGGATAAATGATAATAGAAAAATAAACTTTCCTTAATCCTCGCATAAATCTGAAAAAAAAGAATATAAGTCTTAATCACTTTCCCCTCTCAAAATCAAAAAAATGAACTCCTCTAAATATTAATACATTGAATGACATGGGACAAAAGCCTGGCCCATAATAATCCATATCCAAACTGTTTTACCATGTTTAAAATTCTTTTACTTATTTAGGGAAACTCATTAAAAAATTCCAATATCAATTCCGACATTGTGTGGTTTGACATTTGGGCTTCCCTGGGCCTGGCCCAATTCAATCAACCTTATTTCACGTCAATTATGGCAGTGTATGTAACTTGGAGCTAACTTCGGGCCTCCCTATCCCTGGCGGCCTAGCCCACTATAGTCCCGATTTGAATCTAGTTTCAATCCACAGGCACAAGGTGAGTGAGGCATGGGGGTTAAGTAGCCCCGACAAAAAGTCGACCCAACCCACGAATTCGATTCAACACAGCCTGAAAAACATGGTTTAGCTAATTGAATCTGAGAATGAACTGATCCGATTCGAAAAAACTGGGACAGGTTGATTTGGGTCATGGGTCAACCCATTTGACTCCATTGTTGAGTTTAATTGGGACTATTTATGTATTGTTAGAAATTTCTGCATTAATGTTTATTGTTTAGTCTTTAATCTTTATTTTTACTCTTTTAATTGTTAGCGGTTAAGGTTTTTTATTTTATTTTTGAAAATTTAAGATTAATCCTTTTAATTTTGATATTTTCATATATTTTTCTTTATTTTTAAAATTTTAATTATTTTTTAAAATGATTCAAATTGACCCATGACTCAACCCTAACCCAAACATTTAAGATTAGGGTCCAACATCTGGCCACCTAAAATGAAATTCAACCTGACCCGACCAATGCAACTCAATTGCCAGGTCTAGTGTTAAGGATGTATTTGGTTTGAAAGGTAGGGAACCAAAGACAATTCAAACGGATCCATATCGGACGACTGACGAAAATAATAAAAGTAAAAAAAGATTGATATCTCACATTCTGACTCTTATCGATTGTGATACGGAAAGACATGACACCGAAAAAACTCTTAACTAATTAACCCGCATCATAATTCATAACACGCACGCCCTCTTCTTCCCTCCCAAAAACACATTCAAATTTCTCTGATACTCTCGGTCCCCGTGTCATGATTTATTGATTGGCTACTTAACACTAGTCTTTGCATCTCTCTCTCTCTCAAAGTCTCAATATCTGTCTGTAATGGCTTCTTTAAGAGATGCACGAAGAGAAAATGATGATGGGCTCGATTTATGGTCACAAATCGCAGCTCCTGATAATGGGCTGCCCCAAATGGCAGTGACTTACAGAAGAAGAGTAGAAAAGAAAAACGCAGAGATACCCATGTAGGTGTGAATGAATGAAGAGAGAACTTGTTCTTATTTTGAGTAATTTCAGTTTCCCTTTTGCTTATGCGCTTGTTTGAGTTTCTCTTACATCGTGCGCTTATTTTCTTTGGTTTGTACATTTCAGAAGCCGGATCGAGAAAGACAGATGGCCCAATCGTTTGAGCTTAGCGCCAAACAAAAGAATCAGTTGGAACCGTTCTCTTTCTACGAGGTTTGTTCTACTCCTTGTCAATTTTGTTAACTTTGATTGAACAGGGTTTGTTAACTTTATAGTTATTTTGTGGCTTGTTCTGCTTCTCTTTTAGTTATCTATGAATATGCTCATTCTATTTACCAACTGCCTGAATGGTAGTGGTGGAAACGATATGGCTTTTTTTTTTTTTTTTTGATGTTAATCCACCCTTTTGAAATGGATAGAGGGAAAGAAAATGCAAATAGAAAAAAGCCAAAGAAAAAGAGAATGAGAAGAACACCAGAGAAATTACATCTTTATTCTACATTATAAAACAAGAGAAATTACAGCAGAATGACTCACAGAACCTCACCTTCCATACACCCTTTCAATCTCCCTACACATCCATGTATAACCCACACTCAACACCCAACACTTACATTCACAGAGAAATGAATTGTTGAGGTGATTATAATGGCACAGGGTTGCCCCTATTTATAGTTTACATCGGTGGTAGAAGGGGGATTTTTGAAAATTTTCTATGCCACAAGTTAACCACCATCCATTACCAATTTAATGAATGCTTTGGATTAGGCGGTTAAATGACATTCACCGCCATTTTATTGCCTATGCACCAAACGGTGAAAGAAAGTGGTCTTCACTGCTTTACATTTTCGTTGGGCCATTACCTATCATTTTGGTGGGCCATCAATCGGTGGTCTCATGCATGGGCTCACTGATTATATTTTCACATTCTTCCACTTTGGAGGTGATTTATCTTTATAGTGCAAAATACACTCTGTATAATAGTCGCCAACCATCACCATCTTTCAAGTGACTTTTAAGTCTTAAAAGAAAATCATGCACCAAACAAACATCTCATTTGTCATAAGTTTCATTGTTGTAGTCAAATGATCTCTCCCTGTTTTTGTCATGAACCTGTTAGCTTCCACTACTCGTGCAATGTTTGGTGCACACCATGACAAACATAAGGCTTCATACTATTGATGAATATGGTATATGAGACATTTCTGTCTTCTCTACTTCGGTGCTAGGAAATTGATTTGATGACAATTTGCAACCAATAAGAAATGGGGTATTGGTATACAAATTTTCATGTTCTTCCCATCCCTATACACCATCATACCAAGAATCTGATTGGTGGCCCTCAAATCATTCATGTCAAACTTCCTGGACACACGACCTTTCAATGTTACTTCTTTGTTAGCACCTACAATGAGCATGTTATTGGCATTCAATAACAAGATAATCAAGTGACCATCACCAATACATGTGTAGGCATTATGATCTACTTAACATTTTTGAAAAACAAAGCTCATGATGAAGGAAGCAAATTGCTTGTATGAACACTTGGGTACTTGCTTCAAATTGTAAAGTGATTTGGTTAGATGACAAACCATATCATTCTTGTCTTTTTCCACACAACCTTCAGGTTAAGTATTATCGCTTCTTCCAAATTACCATGGGGAAATGCAATTTTAACATCTAACTGCTCAATTTCAAGTAAAGCACTTTAGCTATACTTAATAAAATATGGATAATACTCAAACAGAGGAGAATATTTCATTGAAGCCAATACATGGTTTCTGAGCATACCATTTAACAATTAGTTGAGATTTATATCTCTTGTACACTCATCTGAAACCAATGGCCTTTCAACCCTTAGGTACTCTAACTAACTCCCAAGTTTTGTTCTTTTCAATTTCCTTCATAGCCAATTGCCAATAACAAGCATATAGACTTTCACTAGCTTCCTTGGTCAACCTTGATCACCATGAGTCTCACTATTAAAAACCTCAATTCTCTTCAGCATTGCCATCAAAAGTTGCATTAAGCTGTTGATCATAAATCATGTTGAAAGGTTCTACTTCAACCTTCCTTGTTGTCTTCAAGCTTGGCCATGAACTTTCTTTTTGCGTCGAGTCTTAGTTGAGTACACCATCTTGGCTAATAACATTATAACAATATTATGGACAGTACTACAGTAAGATCCCACAACTTGTACCCATTTGTACCTTTTGTATATTTGAGAAAAATATACTTTTTGGATTGTGCATCCAAATGAGTCATTTATTTTTGGAAATTCACACATAAGTTTTACAACCAAAGGTATACAAGCTAGAGTAATCCATAGGGTTTCCTAATCATACCTCTTTTGAAATTTTGTAATCAAGTTCTATAATAGGAGTGTGATTTACTAGATAACATGCCCTGCTGACTCTTTGTTTTGTTGTGGAGTTTGAGGATCTATATACTACCTTTCTATGCCGTGCTTATTGCAAAAACCCTCCAAAATCTTTCAAAGTATAATCTCTCCCATAATTGGTCCTCAGATACTTAATCCTTTTCCAAATTTGGTTTTCAATTGAAGCTTTGAATTTCTTAAAGCAAGAAAAAGTGTCACTCTTCAACTGGAGCATATACACCTACTCCTTTTTGGAGAAGTCATTGATAAATGAAGCAACATATAACAAACCTTCCAGACATTCCACAACAACTCCCTGAGTATGAGAGTGTATTTGATCCGATACCTTTCTACTATTAGCTCTAGACTTAGGAAAGCTATTATCATCTTTAATCATTATCATGAAAGAGGTTTATACCATCCAGGAATTTCAACCACCCCACCACCAGTTTTGAGTCCCCTACTCCCCTTGTATCAGTAGGTATTCCACGCCTCCAAGCTTATTTGCTTTCTGCACTCTTTGAACAACCACTAGTAATTCAGCCTTTATAGAGTCTCCAACTCTCAGCGCACCCGAGAAAAAAGATAAAATATTCCCAACCTCATTTTTGAGGACCCTACCTATACCAGAGGGGCCTGGATTACCAAGACCACATCAGCACATCCATCAAAGTTTAGTTTTACATAGCCTTCAAGGGGGCTTCAAGGAGGGGGGGGATAATGGGTTTAGCAATGTTTTTATTTTTTTTATATGAAATCAATGCAATGGTTGGCCTTGCCTTGATGTACTTGTGGATGGACTTCTCTCTCTTGGAACTAAAGGGACAACATTTGATATTCTGCTTTGTATTGAACAGAGGGAGGACTAGTATCATCATTTCCTCTGGAGTGGATTATGACCATCAGCCAAGACAAAAAGAAGCAAAAAGGAAACAAAAACGGGCTCCTCTCAATGTATGGCTTGAGCAACTCTTTTTTCTTTTTTCAGCTTGCATGTTATCATCACTCTTTTGATTACTATCAAGAATAGTTCATGAATAAATTATCTGGAAAAATTATGATGCTTTTGTCCATGTTCTGAAACTTGTAATGACATCCTCAGGTCAAAATGATGTTTGAATTGAATCACATCAATTGTGACTCTTAAGATCACCTGTGTTTTCAGCAAACTTAATAATAACCTAGATCCAGAATCTAACAATGTGTTTGACACTGAGCAGAGTGGAACAGGGTTCTATATGGTTTGGATAAAGCTTAGTTGAGTGCACACACACACACACACACACACACACATATATATATATATGCACTCAACTATGTTGGTGGCTATATGAATCCTGTCCTGCCATTGCACTCTATCAAGAGTCAGATCTTCTAACTAGATTTCTAGATTGGATTATAATTAAATTTCTTTGATATGACCTTCTAATTTCTTTCTTGACTTTCTTCTGTCTGTTATCTTTAGAAAACGACTGTACACCCACCAAATTTTGAGAAGGAGCGGGCGTACTTCCAAGAGGTTGATTCCTTGGAGCTGTTGGAGGAAAGTCCCTCACCAAAGCACTTGGGTACATGGGTCATGGGCATCCAAAGTAGTGAGGTTGTTTTACCACATCTGCCTTCAAGATTAGAGAAATGGCTAATCTCCAAGAAGTTTAACTACAGTTGTGGGCCTTCTGGTTCCTTAGCTAAGATTTTGGAAACTCCAATAATGCCTATGGAATCAATTTGCAGTGATGTTTCCAACTCTACAAGACCTAAGGAACAGGTTTCTCCTGATATATCTTCAGATTTTCCTTCTATATCCAACAATGTGATTGAAGGGCATACTTGCTCACAGACACACATGGAAGGTCTGAGTACATGTGATGACAACTGTGAAGATATTGGACAAGGCTTAAAAAATCTATCTCTGATATCAGAATCTGAAACCCTGGATGGTGATCATAAGGTCTCATTTGCAACATTGTTAACAATTTGTGGGCAATTGGCTCCTTCAACATTATTGGATGTCTTCTCCCAGTATTGGTTGGTTTCTTCCTAAAATACTTGAATTTTTTTTAGTTGTCCTTTATCGTCTTAATTCTGGATTATTGTTGTTGGATTTGCATTTTACAGAAATATTCTTGTTTTTGGTCTTTCCTTTTCATTTTTGCAACTTTGTTATTAACTAGTAGATGTGTTTCAAGACTACTTAATGGTTTTTGAGACATTTGTAACTTCAAGAGTTTGGTTTGTTAAGATTATGATATCATGAAATCTCAACAATGACCAACTTAAAAATCTCTTGGGTTACAAAATAGATTGATTCAATGATCATAGGATTTAGCAATCCATTCGTTCATCAAAGAGGAGGTTTTATTAAAGCTGAGTTATTAGCTCTTCTCCAAATGTTTAGATTGTTATACTCCATTGACATTTCTAATGTTAAGGCGGAGGATTATGCTCAGATGGTTATTGCGTGGATAGGATAGGGGGTTGGGGAATCACGGTATATTGAACATTGACACAAGAGGCTAGATCTTCAGCGTCCAGAGTGAGTATGCCATTTGTGTGGATGTCCAGATCAGCCAACTCATTGGCAGATTCATGCTTCTTTTTGTACATTTCTTGTGATCTTTAGCTCTGTTCTTTTGTCTTTAGGTTTTTGAGAAGACTGTTGTTATGCTTTCTTCCTTTCATCAATAAAGTTAACTAAAATAGGTTATTACCCAATGTTAGTCCCAGCTATCAGGTGTCTTGGGAGGTGTAGACTGGATTTGACCTAATCTTTGCTATACTTTTTTTTGCACAAAGTGGTACTCTCATACTTGAACCTATGGTCTCCTGTTTTTAAGCCCGAGATTTTAGCATTACATTAAGCAATGGTCCATGATGAATAAAGTTAACTGTTGCCCATAAAAAATTCCATCCTTTGTATTCCTCTGGATAGTTATGATAAACTCTCATTAAGCTTAATGGTCAAAATGATCTGTTTGCGTTAATTTTGGGCTTAGGAATCTCCTAGGTTGGTTTCATTCACTAAAAGTTTGTGGACTTGAAAACAAATCTTCTCTGAGCAACTCATTGGAGTCATTGTTATGGTAGTATTCTGTTATTTTCAGTGATGATTTATCAGAAGATGCATAAGGATCCTTCTTCTTTCTTTTATTTTAAATTTGTGTGAAGGTATCAGCATGTTTCAACTTGAATATATAATATGATGTTGGTCATATGTTTCCTTTTATATTTTCTCCTTTCCTTCCATTGTAGAATTTGGAAATACATTTTATGAGCTCAACAACTCCAAACTATCTAATTATTTGGTGCCAAGAATAACATTTTTTGCTTATTGATAAAGAAACAAAAAGTGTTTGTTTGATATAATTTTGGAAGATGGCATTGCATTTAATGGAAATTTGAAACTTTCTTGGGATCAGTGATCCAAACAGTATTATCAAGATTGGTGAAGGAACATATGGAGAAGCCTTTAAGGTTGGTGCAACCGTTTGCAAGATAGTGCCTATAGATGGGGACTTTAGAGTGAATGGTGAAGTGCAAAAGGTATCAACCATTTTCTTTTGTCTTATGATCTCAACAATGAAACTCTGAGGATATAGATATACATTTAAACATAACCACATAAATGATTAATGTTGTCATTGAATGGCAGCTGTGCAGCTTGGTGTTTTAATGAAATTATGCTTCTTCTTCTTCGTCTTCTTCTTCTTTTTTAATGAAATTATGCAATAACATAGACTTCAAATTCTTCATCTAATTCACCACTGGAAGTTGAAGTTTTCTTTTTCAGTTCTAATACTTCTAATCTCGCCCCTCCAAAAAAAAACATTGATGTTAGTTGTATTGTAATTTAGAAAGTGCTTCTGTTATTCTTATTATTTCATGATTTTGTCACTCATCTTACTCCAGGTGTCAGCTGAATTGCTTGAGGAGGTCTTACTTTGCCAGACTCTTAACCGTTTAAGAAGACATGATGGTCATGTTTCAAATGCATCTACAGCATTCATTGAAACATTAAAGTATGCCAACTGCCTAAATCTCTCCTAGTACCATGACCATGCTATTTGTATTTTAACAGTTCCAATGGGACTTTGGATCTACCGCAAACACTGGCACATGTGGGATCCATGTGTACGGAACACTGGCATGTTCATTAGTTATGTAGCTCGTTTTACACACCGGTGTTTGAAGCAGATCCTGACTGTCCCAATGGTGGTTAGCTTTCCTGGTTTACTGATTATGTAGGAGGACTGAATATGTTGTTTTCTGCCAGATTAAATGGTTCCTAGGTTATAACACCATCAACCAGTTAACTATTAGCTGTGAGGCATTAAATGTTGATTCCAGTGCAGGTTTTGTCCTGCTCTGGAACTGAAGTTGGATCTGAATTGTGTGAGATCCCAACATTCAAATGAAATGAACAGAAAAAAAATATATTAACTCAAAAACTCTTTCCTCTTTATCCTATTCCTCTCTTATTCTTCCTAGTTTCTCTACAATACTTCTTTACACTATATTATCTGCTTTCCTAATCTATGTGCATCTCTTTACATAGTCTATTCAACTTATATTTCATCAGATCTTTTTCTTCTGTTTTTATTTTAAATTTCCTCAGAGAAAAAAATTTCAATCAACTTAAAACACCAAAATTACTTTTCAACTATGCTTATAAATACAATATGCCTTTTTGTTTTTCTGTGGATGGTATTCATGTCATTGGTTGCTGCATCAAAAGTGTTGAGACTTTGGATTATTTTTACATAAACTTGTAATTCCTTTTCTGTTTCCTATAAAATGGTTTTGTTTCATCTTTTAGTTTGAAGGTATGCCAAGGTGTTTATGATGCTTCACTGATCAGAGCATGGGAAGATTGGGATGAGGAACATGGCTCAGAAAATGACCACCCGGGGAAATTCCCTGAGAAACAGGTTTTTCTTCCATAACCAATTAGAGTTTATGCAGATGTTCAATAAGTGTGAACTTGACTAGGAATTCACCCATGGAATTTGGCCTTTTCAACTCACCGAGTCAAATGATGCTTGAATGCCAACAACCCTTAATGTAGAATGTTACTAAGATTCATGCTCATTGGCTCAGCTGGTTTTTGCATTACATGCTAGACAAAATTCAGATGTATGTATGCACATCCATAGTTCATACATATACCAGTTTCTTGATACAATGGGGGTTCTTCCACCAATGAAGGGTTTTTTTGGTTAGGACCATGTAGAAGACTGAAGACCTTTTGGATAGTCTGGACAAGCTAAGTCCTCATTTGCATCAACTCTATCTACCCCACCTTACCCTGTGTGGAGCATTTTCCATATTATGACAACCATTATATACTTATTTTTAGAAAAGAAAGACCTCTCTTTTGGTACCTTCACCTATATCACCTACATATGGAAAACATGTTACATTTTTGGTACCTTCACCTACATAACATGTAAAGCATATTCAAATGAGAATTTAAAAATAAAATCAAACATATAAACATTTCAAGTATGTAAAACCCACAATCTCTTTTTTTCCTCAATTGCATTACTTCAAGTAGCTAATGTGATGTAAAACATGTTGCATTCTTGATTCTACGGGCCGCATTTTGTGCCACGCCTCTCGAGACAAGCCCAAACAAGTCCATGTTGGGGTCTTAAATTCTTAGTTCTCACACAAAAAATAATGTTTTTATAAGTTTAATTGTTTTTTTAAGAAGATATTTTAGTAGGATGAATGAATGAATGAACAACATTAGCAAATAGGGGGTTTTCGGGCCCTAGCATGGACTTGTTTGGGCTTCCCTCGAGGGGTGTGCCACCCCTGGCCCAACCACTAGGTTCAAAAAAAGCAAAAAAGCATCAAATTTTCAAAAGATGCGCATGCCTGGGCTGAGGTGCAAGGCGCATCAGGTGCATGCCTAGGCGTACCAGGCGTGCGCCTTTTGAAAGGGCTGCGCCTAGGACCTAGGCGAGGCACATACCCTAAAATGCGCCTAGGCGCGCCTTTTAAATGGGCCTTTGGCAACCTAAAATACCTTGAACCTAACCTTATTAATGATATTATGTTCTATGCTCATCTTTTAGAATGTTGAGAAAATTAAAATATCCCACTATATTAATGTTGGGGAGCCGAAGTCATCCAATTGTATTATGTACAGTTGGAGTCTTGGAGCATTGCACGTCTGCTGAGAAGTCTACAGTTCAACCTTACAAAGCTTAGTAGTAATTTTTCTTAATAAAATTACTTTAATGTATCCCAACCTGACAAATCTGAGTTGTGCTTTGGGCTTAGCATTGTGCAGCTCATGTTAAAACTCGCTAGTTTTTAGGCTGGCTGGGGTTGACCTGCCTTACGATTAGGAACGGTGGGCTCTGGGCATAATCCAACCTACACAGGTTTGTGACCTAAGTAGACCATGCCACTTCCCTCTATCTAACCGATCTAATTTCTGTTAAACCACTTCAAGCATAATGCATATTGGCCCTCGGAAACTGTTTAACATGGGTGGTTTTGTTTTTTCTTCCCCTTCACCCCTATTTTCATCTAATTGGTTTCCTTTCAGTGTTATGTGGTGTTTGTATTAGAACATGGAGGCAAGGACCTTGAAAGCTTTGTGCTTCTAAACTTTGATGAAGCACGGAGTTTATTAGTTCAGGTAAGCTACTCATCTCTTCCCCTTTTCCATCTGTTTTCCTAACCTCTGATCCACAATCAGTTATTGTTTCATCTCTGAACGCAGGTTGCAGCTGCCTTAGCTGTGGCAGAAGCTGCCTATGAATTTGAACACCGTGATCTTCACTGGTAGAGATGCAATCCCTAAGACTAGGTTCTTCAACTGTTTTCTACTTATAATACAATCCATGGTTGCACTATGAATTCTTTCATAAGAATACTGTTCTTTGAATTGGTTTTCAGGGGCAATATTCTTTTAACTCGCAAGGATGATGAAACAGTAGAATTCACTCTTGAGGGAAGGAGAATGTCGGCGAGAACATTTGGATTGTCGATATCAATTATTGACTTCACACTTTCACGCATGAATAATGGTCAATAGCCCTTTTATATTTATATCCCACATTAAATGGAACAGAATGGTGAAACAGGATTCATGTAGCCGATCTCATATAGTTGGGATAAGGCTTGGGTGATGATGATGACCCATTTTATATCTCACAACTCTTATGTCTAGATATAAGGCTTATTTTGCATGATCTATTAATGCGTTGTCATGTTTTGCAGGAGAGGCCGTATTGTTTCTGGACCTATCTTCTGATCCGCTTCTGTTTGAGGGTCCAAAAGGAGATCAACAAGTAAGAAAAGGAATAGATCAACATGCAAATTTTTTCAGCATCTTTTAGTTTTAATGGACTCCAAAAAACCGATATTTTACATTTTGTTGTAGGCAGAAACATACCGAAAGATGAAGGAGGTTACACAAGAATGTTGGGAAGGCAGGTAGGTACATGGATAAACTTATGTTTTCCTCTGTTGTTGAGTGGTTACATCATCACTTGTGGTTTCAGAATGTATATATAGACTTCTAAACAGCACCTAAAATTGAATTTTTATTGGACAACTTGATATATAGAACGGGGTTTTGGGCAATAAAGAAAAAACACATCCATAAAATAAGCACTACTGAGATGGTGACATGATAAGAAAGTTGATTGAAATGGTGTTAACCATGTGTATAGATGGCCAATGACTACACAAATGAGGTGAGGCTTGTGGGAGCAAGGGAAACACGAAAGAGAATGTGGGTTGAGGTAGATAGAAAACATGAATTTTATCCAACATGGAACATGGCAGCTGAAGTAGCTTGATTAAAGGCACCACTTTTTCTGCCACCTCACTCATCTTCACGGCTTCACCTGCCAAGAGCCAAGTTTCTTTCTTTATGTAGTTAGCTCAAACAAACTCTAACACTTCACAGGAGAGTCCCATTTCTTCCATCTTGTTGTCAACGGTTATTGTGTCTATGTGAAAAGTCTAGCACTTGGTAGAGTGTGAGGCTGATAGAGACGAACTGTCTTGGTTGTGAACCTAAAGTCTCATCTCTTGCGCCACATAAGTACGCTGTATGGCAGTTAAGCTGTTGTTTTCTGAAAAACTAGGTTTTCATAACAAAGGAAAATGCGTTCATGGACCTGGAAAGGAAGAACTTGTATGAAAGTATCCCCTAAGAAATAGAATTTTGACTACAATACCAAGATGGGTGATGAGGGCAGATTTGGCCCTCCAGTGAAATTGTGACACGTGGCACCTCGTGACAACTAGGCAAGCACCCAGGCAACAACTTACCAAGTTGGTCTCCCCCCCGGGCACCGGTCTGGCTGGCCTGG